AGGTTTTTGATTTTATTTTTAAGATCAGATATTAAATCCTTTAAAAACAAAAATTTCTTTTTGCATAGTGGAAATAAACGAGTGTTGTTAATTTAACTAAATCTTGCACAAATTCCTCAAGAAAATCTTCAGTGGGTTTAATAATCGTCTCCATGTTACATCGATCCACATAAACTCACTTCTGATAAATAACATTATCAATAAAAAATTCATCAAACTTTTCCATTAAAATTTCTTTTAGAATTTCAGTTCCAGAACAACTTTCATATTTACCGAGGTAACAATCTACGCTAGCTGGATTGCACATCACTTTCTTAGTGTCATCAATGTTGAATGTATCAATTTTAAATATGTCAATTTAATATTTTGATGGATGAGACAAACGCACGCTTAATGTGTGTCACTTTTTCCGGCAAAGATGCAGTTTTTTGGTTTAAGTTCATAAAATTTGGTCAAGCCAATTTTTATTTCTGGTTAAACCTTTTTAAACAAAGCATAAACTTCTTTTAAGTTGGCCAAAAGCAATTTTTTTTGCACATATTCTTTGCGGTTTTCTTTTTTAATTACTACACAGTCTTTTTTCTGGCATCATTCTGCTTATATCGTCTCTCAAATAAAATTCTCTAACTAATATCTTTTGAAATGGTTTTTCCTGGTCCTTTTCTTTCACCATTTTTTTACTGCCATTGCCATAATTGAGACACACCAAACTCTTTCTGAATTTGTGCTCTGGTTCAACTAATTGGCAGAATTGACAACACCAGCATTTTTTCACTTCTTTTGGTGATTTCAGCAAATTTTAGTTGCTTTACTATCTCACAATCATGTTCATTTGCACTATTAGCAGGCCCGGGGTTTCTTCTAATTTTACACGTCTTTGTTTATCTAAAAAATTTTCGATCACTACCTTCACTTTTTCTGCTTTCCATTAGTGTTTTCTTTTTGATGGGAGATTCTCCCAAGAGCACCAGCGACTAAATAAGAACTTCCAGCGACTCTTCTGATCCAGATTTAAAATTGGGGGAATAAAAGGTAGTTGATGGTCTGAAAAAATATTCACAAATATGTAGGTACCTAAATATACCATAAAATAGGAATTAGAAGTGACAATGTTTTAGCTTGTGTCTTATCAATAATAATTATTTTTAACAAACTATGAAAATATACGTAAATCAATGGTAAGTATGTACTTAACCTGCTTCAGGCAAATTTGCTTTTCTTTGAACTTTTTAACCGACTTCAAAAAAGGAGGAGGTTATCAATTCGTCGCGATAATTTTTTTTTTTTATGTATGTTCAGCGATAATTCTTTAACACGGTGTCTGATTTCTATAATTCTTTTTTTGTTAGAAAGGGGTTACTTCAGGGGTGGTCCCATATAAATTTGGTCAAAATCTAAAAATTGGGTACATGAGAAAATCCTCAAACTCTTCATTTTTTTATGTATGTTTAGCGATAATGCTTTACTATCTTGTCCGATTTATATGATTCTTTTTTTGTTAGAAAGGGGATACCTCAGGGGTGATCCCATATAAATTTGGTTAAGATGTTGTGTTAGCATCTGCACGTTTTTGAAGTCAGTTTTTTTAAATTTTTAATTTACACTTGTTATAAGTTTGGTTCGACACGCATTACAAATCTTCATTCCTAGCTTAATGTCTATATGAAAGCACATATTTTCTGAAACATTCCTTAATTTTCCAGAATGTTTCTTCAATTTTAACGGATCACAACACCTGGTTGCAAATATTTTAGACCAAGTTTTTGGATTGTCTTGGGACATTTTTAAACAGTAGAATATAGAAGTACACTACCAATAGGAGCTCAGGTTTAAATATAAATGAAATCGGCATTCAGGAGTGTTTTTGCAAGACTTTCTTGCAGGAATTTTCCTGCACAGATTGTCTGATCCAGTGGGTAGGGAATAACTTACCAATGAAAAACTAGACATGAGAGAAATAAACAAGTTCGCACAAATAAAAAACACAAGTTTTGGACTCATACAACACTAGATTGAGGGGGAGGGAGATGAAAAAAAAAGAGTATTTTTATTTTAACTTTAATTTACCTAAACAGAATTAATATTCAAAATAGAACTTTTTACTTTTTCCTACAGCGCATACACATATATAAATGATAATACGAATTTGAAACATTTTTCTTCAAATTTTTTGTTGCTTTTATTTAGTTTTCATTTTTTTGGTTCTGAACTCATAATTTTTCCGTCTTGAAATTTGGCACATATTTTGCCAAAGCATTGATAAAAAAAATGTTTTTTTTTCAAAAAAATTCAAAAATAACTTGAATTTTTAAAACAGATCATGTGATACATCGTTGTAGAGGTATTTGAATTACCTTTACATCGAGCTATATCTCATCGATCTACAATAAGTGGTTCTCAAGATATTCTAGATTTTGTAAAGCTGTGTTGGACTTAAATTGGTCAATTTTTTAATTTTTGAAAATTAATTTAAAATAATTTGGTTTTTTCATCCCACCTATATAGAAAATTAGTGAACCAAATTTTATCAAAATCAGTGAGATGGTCTGCCAAACCTCTGGTTGATTTGATATAAAATGACCCGATAGGTACTGATCATAAACTGAAATTAAAGGCTAATGGTAAGATTTTAGAGTATTATTTTGCAATTATCATTCACTATTATCAAATTAATTACAGCTTTATCCACCCTACATTTAAAAGCAGATGAGACTGTTTCTTACAAGCATTAAAAACGACCAAAAGCAAGAAAAGTCAAAAGGGATTACTAAAAAAACATACATTATTGGAAAAAAGTGTTTGCTACAGGAAGTTTTTAATAAAAATCTGATGTGTTTAACACATGACTTTCCTGTCTAGTTATTACAGGCTTATTCCGGTTATTATGTACAACCTGTTGTATCCCCCCAGTAAATGTTAAGAGGATGAACTAAATATATAAATTTTCCACATACATCTTACTTGAAACAATTTTTTATACATATTCATTACCAACAAAAATTCTGAAAAATTAAAATATTTCACTTTTCCTTCAATTTTTTTCATTACGGTCCATTTTAGAGAAATCATGTAAAAAACAAAAATTATAGAGATCGATATCGCAAACAACTTTTAATTTAACAATTTTCTTAAAAATTATAATTTTGCACTTTTTGTCATTTTTCGAATATGGACCATTTTAAGAAAATTATGTATATGACAAAAATTATAGAGCATAATATTACAAGCAACTTATATTTAAAGAATTTTCTTCTCCAAGCGTAAATAGCAGATATACTCCATAAAGTATAAAAACGACTATAAAGTACCCCCATATTTTCCGATTATGCCCAAAAATTTTTTAAAGCCTAGATTTAAAATTTTGTGTTTTTCTACTTATTCGTTTTAAAGTTTTCTTTAAAATTCAAAATTTACAATTTTTCTCAAATATCTCGAATTTTAGAGAAATTATGTATAGAATTATAGAGAATGATATCACAAACAACTTCTATTTGAATAATTTTCTTAAAAATTTAATTTTTTTACATTTTGGTAAATTTCTCGAATACGAACCATTTTAGGAAATTTTTGTATAAAACAAAAATTATTGAGAATAATTAACAGTAACCTTTATTTGAAGAATTTTCTTCTACAAACCAAAATACCAGATATATTCCATAAAATATAAAAATGACCAATATAAAGTACCCCCCAGATGTTCCGACTTTGCTCAAAATCTAATCACTTTACTATAGGCCGGAATAAAGCTTAAGTTTGACATTTAGTGTTTTTCTCTCTATCCGTTTTTGAGTTTTCTTCAAAATTCGAAATTTACATTTTTTCCAAAATATCTCAAATATGGTCCATTTTAGAAAAACTATGTATAGAAAGAGAATCATAAACAACTTTTATTTGAACAATTCTTATAAAAATTTGAATTTTTTACATTTTCTCAAATTTGAAATTTCTTCAATATGGACCATTTTATGAAAATTTTGTATAGGGCAAAAATTATAAAGAATAATATAAGTTATTTTTAATTGAAAATTTTCTTCTCCAAACGTAAATAACAGATATATTTAATAAAATATAAAAATGATCCCCTATGAGGTATTCCCCAGATGTTCCCACTCTGCCCAAAATCTAATCAGTTTACCAGTGAAAATCATTACATAATTTTTCTTTGCTGTTTTGTAGATTGTTTTTCAAAAAATTCAAAACTACCGATATTATAAAAACTCTAACACGGGTTAGACGTTTGTATAAGTTAATTCCCAAGTATTTTACCTCCTTCTTTTGGGCTATAGGGAGTTATCGTTCATCGTAGCAAGTGGGAAATACGTGTTAAAGTATAAACAATACATTGGTTACGCAAAAGTACAATTATTGTAAATAAAATTAATTTTTAACAAATCTAAAAGTTATAAAACACGTGAACAGTGACAATATACATGTTAGATTTTTTTAGTTATTAGACGTCTGACATTGACAGCTTAAATGTTTACCAAATTGATTTGCTAAACAAAAGTGGAAGCTACAGGTTATCTTGCTATGACTTTAATGGAAAAATAAGTAAAAGTCACATCAGCGAACATATTAGGTAATATACTTTTGGCAATCAAATAAATTTTCTAAATATTTAAAAGATTAAAATCATAAAAATTTAATTGTTTCATTCTTGTTTATTTAAGAAACTGATTTGAAAATAATTTATTATTGAGTGACTCTCCTATTGTAATAATTATTGTCAATAATACCCTCCTTATAATTTACCCACTAATGAATGAACTGCTCAAAACAGAAGGGTAAGGGACGGCTACTATTAATATTTGGCGTAGCCTTCAGGAATATTTACAGATAATAGTGTGCTATTTGACTTACAGGTGGGAAACCTAGAAAAAATCCATCATGCACCTTTACATGACATGGTTTTCCATGAAATCAAAATATCCACAAAAAAATAAATTAAAACCTTCTGTTTATCTTCCTGTTAATACAACATAATCTTTCGTTTGTTTCAGGTTTATTCTTCATCAACATATGCAGATACATACAGGAAAATTGTGCAAGTGTCCCCATCTAGGTTGCATATACACCGCCAGACAAATGAGCGAACTAAAGGAACATTTCAAGATTCATCTTAATGAAAAAAAATTCTCCTGCGACATGTGCGATTATAAAGGAAAAACGAAACCTCATTTAGTCAGGTCAATAATTTCTATTACGACCTAGTTATACTACTTATACATTTAAACCATACTGTATATAAAACTACATTTAAATTATTTTTTTAACAGGCATATGACCATACATAAAGATGTAAAAAAATATAATTGTCCTCGATGTTCTTTTTCTACAAAAAATTCTCAACATTTGCGAAGGCATTTGAGAATACATACAGGGGCTAAGCCATACAGCTGTCCACATTGTGACTATAAATGCAGTAATTTGGTAAGTTATTTTTTAATCATAAAGACGTTAAAGTAGTTTGACAACACCGTGTTGTTGGCTATTGGGTAACATTATTACGTATTTATAGAAAATTAGACATCCATAATAATACAATTACATATTATGTAATAAACAGCTTGTAATGTTGTAATTTGTAATGTGTAATATGTAACAAATAAGTCACGTTAATTATTTGCATCCACTACAAGTTGATACAAGCTTTTTTTATGTTCATATAGTGGTAGTGGTAAAAATAGAAGGTATTTTTAATAGAAAAAATAAATAAAATGAAATCATTAAGCTTAATTAGGTAAATTTTAGTTGGTTTTCACATTACTCATGCTCAAAAAAAAGCTCGTCACTTTTGAATCTAGTAATTTTACAATCTATCTTTTATCTCTCTCTTATCCTCGCCTTATAACTGTTGAATTAGCTTCGACGATTAACCTCTGTCTAATAGTCATTGTTACTTTAAACAACTGTCATCTAGTATGTATAGTAGGGGAACCAGTGACACTATTTGGTACACATTTGCACAAGGCATTATCTAAACAGGTTTTTTTAAGACCTCCTTATCGAGGACTCCATCACTGTAGGCACTAGCCAAATATTTCCATGTTCTACAAGGTAAGAATGAACAAAATATTTGTAATTTTTCCATGCGCAAATAACACATCTAAAAGACTCACTGGCTCTCCTACCAATAATAAAAGTTAAAATTGACTTTTAAGGATATGTAATTGGAACAGGAAGTAGGATTTGCGCATGAGTAATAGATAGAAACATAATAAAAACTACTGTAATAAAAACCAATATTTTATTGTATAAATTTTATGCACAATAAGTAAGATAAAAATTTTCAATTTCAATACAATATTTTTTCTCAGTGTATAGCATTTATTACGTTCCCTTGATTTTTTCTTGGTGTATTATACCAACCATCCGTCTTATAAGTCAAATTCAAGGTCACAAAATTTATCTCCGAACTTCAAAGGACCGTCTCTCTGGGGTTGTTATTATCGGGACGAAAGAGTCATTGATAATGTGCAACGCTTTTTGTATTAAAAATACTAAATTTATCAAAACCGACATTATGGATTATTTTAAAATTTTACACCTAAACATAATTTAATTGCTACATTATTTTGTTCTCACAGGAAAATCTACGAAAACATGTCCTTTCTACCAACAAACACGTAGGAAAATTTCTGTACGAATGTCGATTATGTCCAGATGATTCAAGAGCCTTCCAGAGCAACTTCGCGAAAGAGTTCAAAGTCCACTTGGTGACAGCCCACCAAGATATGTTCAACAGCAACACAGAAGCAGCTTCCTACGTTGCTGGAATATATGACGTGCAGGATGACAGTACGCACATTTTTGGTGACCAACGTGAACAAGGGTAAGTTAAAACGGTATTAAACTATATGAGGGGTATAGTTTCAAATTGTACAATCTCCATATTTTATAAAAAATAAGATAGATGTCGCATTACATAGAATTTGTAGTCCTGTATCGAAATAATTAATAATTTCTTTTCAAAACAGATAATCTCCAACGAATTTTGACGGCACAAAATTAGGCCTAAATTCAAAACTTACAATTTCCGTTGACATTTAAGTTTTTTTTAAAAATCAAAGTGTACAATCTCCAATGGGGTTTTGTTGTTAGTTTTGAATTATTTCAAAGCATGCAAACTCCTGTACAGACGTCAATAATATTTCGCACTAAAACCAGTCTGATTTTACGTTTCTAAATTAGTCACATGTGTTTTGTGAAGAAGTAAAGTTTGTTCATTAGTTTTTCCAATTTTTTAACTTTTTTAAAGTAATAATGGAAGTGAAAATTACTACAGTAACCAGTAATAAAGCAAGAAAAAGACAACGTGGAAAAGAACTCAGCAAAAAAATTAGGTAAGTTTGATAGAAGGTTTTTGTAAAAATTCCTACAGAGATTGGTTTGTTTTAGATATAGTCCACATTCGCTTCCAATTTATCGGAAATGTGGACATAAAACTGGTGCTTTTCAATGTACCTTACTAACAATAGGTGAAATAAGACTTTCATTTAAAATTGTATGAGACAAAAGAGAAAATATTTCAAGCCAATTTTTTGCTTAAATATTGCAAAACATTTTCGATACAGCGTAAACGCCCGAAAAATTCTAAGAATGTCCCAAAAAAATTTCAAACACGGTTTTATATCTTGACGAAACAAAAAAAAATGTTGGCTGTGTGCAAGAAAACTTTCATGGATGTTTTGGGTATAACACGGAGACGAATTGACACAGTTACAAAGAACTATGATCAAACTTCTCAACCTGCAAAGGAAAATCGTGGATGCGATAGAAAGCTGGAAAATTACAAGTCAAGGAAAAATGCTGTTATGGACTTTATTAACAAATTTCATGTGAGTGAATCTCATTATTGCAGAGGACAAAGCCAACGACTATACCTGGATTCTTCTTTAAATATAAAGTCAATATGGAGAATGTATGTGAAGGAAAATGAAAACGTTCCAGTAAAAAAAAGCTATTTCAGGAATATTTTTAATACAAAATACAACCTTGGTTTTGGTACTCCTAGAACCGATGTTTGTTTGATATGCTTACAGTTAACAGAGAAAATAAAAGCTTGCTCTGATAAGAATGTCAACGCCAACTTAATGATCCAGAAAAGGGTACATTCATTGAGATCTAAAGCATTTTTTCGCATGTTAAGAGAACGGGATGAAGGAATCGAAATTTTTTTGTTTGACTGCCAGAAAAATCAAGTATTACCTAAGAATCCGAATCAACACGCCTATTATTCAAGGCAATTTTATATTTACAATTTCACCGTTGTAAAGGGTACTTCTAAAAGTAACTAAAATCCATTTACTGTCACTTCTTTCTGTTGGACCGAAAACGAGTACAAGAAGGGTTTGAACGAGATTGCCTCCTGTATTTATCACATTCTTCTGTCGACTGATTTTGGAGACGACATTCATACAATCCGGCTCATGTTTGATGGATGCGCAGGCCAGAACAAAAATACCTCACTCATATCTATGTGTTGTCACTGGTTTTTTAGATAAGATAAAATTTAAAAAATTGAAGTGGTGTTCCCAGTTAGAGGACACTCCTTTATGCCCCAGATGAGGTTTTTGGGCATATTGACTATTAAAAAAAAGAAACAATTCTGGAACCGGAGGAATATCTGGATATATTTTCAAAGTGTAGTACTGTTCTTAGGGTTGGAGAAGTAGTTGAAATATACAATTGGCGAAATGAAACTAGCAAGTACATTAAGCCTCCAGGCCAATGGCATTTTGCTTTCTCAAAAATGAAGAGAATGATTTTAACAAAAAGTTCTAAAGTCATAGTACTAATCCGCGGCGAAATTCTCTATAATTCGGATTCTGGTGTGGGAAAACCAGTAACAAAAAAACTAAGAGTATTGAAAATATGAAACCTACACAAATTTCTAAACAAAATGTAGTCAGCTACAACAAAAAGGTTGATGTTAATAATTTATTAGTGTGTCATTTCGGAGATGAGTAGAAAAATGAGTTTCTACAAATTCGTCGTAGAAGAGGACACGGTTACAGAAAACGAAACTGTCGAGGATGAAACGACGTTGTGTGAGAATATAGAAAAGGCAGAGGAACTTTCTATTTAATTAACAGCTTTTGATTTTTTGTGAGCTCAACCCACTATTTATTTCTACTTTTAATTTTTTTTTTTTTGACTGAATTTAATGTTTTTTTTTTTTCATTTTTTTTTATAATGAATTAAAATTTAAAAATTAATGAAAAATGATGGTATTTTCAAAGTGGACAAACCCAAATTGTTATTTCCATAACGTACAATCTCCAAATATTTTTTCAAAATAACTTTGATGTTTTTAAAAATATTAAGGAAAAAATTGGTATAATAACTCTTAGATATGATATAAAAACAATAAAAAATAAAAAGTACCTTAATTGTTTGTATTTAAGAAATTATTAGTTTTTTTGTGTACTGAGAATTTAGGAAACATGGAGATTTTATACTTTGAAACTGTACCCCTCATATGCAGTAAATCTTTGTTATAATATTATACAATACATTTTTAAACCTCTGTCAAACATTCAAAATTTAAAACAATTTTTTTAAAAATTATATTTAATAAGGGTCGTAAACGCTCCCTTAAAATACTCCGACTGGACTATCTAGAGTTTACTCATCAAAATATTTATATAGATTTTGTCAAATGTGTTGTCAAAGTCGATATATTCTAATATTGGACAAATATTGATAAAAAATGATTAATTTATGTATTATATTTATATATTTGTTTTTTCTTACAGTGACCTGAATCATTCATTTACCTCTGAAGAACCAAAGGAAAACATTTTAGTACTAAATACAGACGAAGACCCTATAGTTTGTCAACCTGATGTACCTACTGCTTCAAAAGATACATTTGTTATCGAAAATCTTCAAGATTCCTGGAATTTAGTGGGAAGGTATGATGTTGAAGAAGTGTCTGGGACTTTAATACCATTTGAAAGTGATAGTGAAAGTCTGTTTCAAGAACATTTTTAGATATTTAACTATTTATTTCTGTTTTATACCAATTCATATTAAAATAAAAAAAATAAATGAGTTTTTTATTTAGAAATATTACAAACAATACGCACTAAATTAGCTAACGCTGTAGCAATAACTAGTCTAAAGGACTAGTGCTTGTCAACAATGTAACAACCAACTATTTTAAAGATCCAGATGTAACAACTAGTAGGTTCTTAACTCTGTTATCAATGTACGATTAATAGATGAAGGCAGCCAGAGGGTCCTGGAGTTCGAAAGGAACATCCATTCCCAGTGGCAAATAAATATAAAATAAAAAACAAAATCGAAATATCCCTTAATAGCATAGTCGAACATCTTTGACAACTGGTTAATGACTCTGTTAGGTAACTTTACACACTTGTTGTATAAATAACTATTATATTTAGGGAATAGCGCACTATTTGATAACGACTGAAATGATAATTATAAACAACTTGTGACTTTTGACCGATAAAGAACTTATTGGATTATATGGTTTGGACTTATTAACCAGTCATATTATTGAATAATTAAACTATATAATATGATAAATTTAAAGTATATAAACTTGAGACGACAATGGAAATATTGACATTTATATGGAAATGAATTAATTATCTCAAAACAAAAAAAAACAGAAAAACACTTTTAAAACACCATATTAAAATAATTAAAGATAATAACCTTCGACACACAAATCGTTGCACAAAACTTCACTTTACACATTAAGGTGCTTCAGGATCTAGGGTGTAGAAGTAGCCGTTACTCAAGTCTCCTATGTCAACTATCGATAGTCTATTTAAACCAAAATATACGTGACAGGTTAATTAGTATCAACTATGAAGACTAGAGAGAAGGAGGCGAATCGGCAATGATCAAATTTCAAACTTCCGTCCTTCTTTTTATAAAGTTTGCGAAATTGACTGTAGTTGGCATGTCTAATGACAGCGCAGTCAATTTTCTATGTAAGTCAATGTAAAATAAAGTGATTTTTTAAAAAATTTATGAAAAAAATCAAAATAATGTGAAAAATAGTACCTGAGTACAAGTAACATGAATGACAAAAAACATCAAAGCAAGATTTACGTCGTTTCAGATTATAAAACAGGATAAAAATCTAATGTAAAACTAAAGAAAACACAGGAAGAAATTAATTCAATGTCTTTTTAAAGCTTTTAATGTAAGTAAAATAATGTATTCATGTCTAAATATAATATTTATTGTAAACTGGTCACAATATGTATCTTACGAAGTGTAGTTTATTTTATTATAAGCTTCTATAATATAAAATTTTACAGTTATATATATATATATATATATATATATATATATATATATATATATATATATTTCAATACGTGTGTTTTCTATTTAAATATTTAGTTAAAACATTGAGTACTTTCTAAAATTATTGTGTAATTCTTTATATTTAACTAATAACAATGTCAATTATTAAAACGTAATCAATTTGTTGGAATTCTTCAACTTTTTCAGACATAATTTTGTAAATTTTTGTTTTTAAACAACTTAACCAGAAAAAGTCATCACATCATCAAATTTTCAAATCAGAACCTTTTATGCTAATCTACCATCTTATTTCTATTAGTTAGTATTTCGGAAAAGTTACTAACTATATTTTATGATTTAAAAAACATTTATGTACACAATATGTCGCAGAAAGTTTGCATCATATTGGAACAATATTTTTATTGCAATTTAGGAAATATGAAAATATATAATCCCATATTCCTCCTACGAAATTATTAAAAATATACACTTACATTCCCAAAGTGGAAAAAACAAAGAAAAAGTAGAAAAGCTGTGAAATAAAAAAAAAATTCAAAATGAATGCATCGAGCAGGGATCGAACTTGGAGCCTTCCGACTAGAGCCGTCGGCGTCTCTATCAATTGAGCCATCGTAGCACATGGCTGCGACAATCGAATTTGTAGGTCTGAAGTCAATTATATTCCGACCATCGTCATAACGTCTGCTATATTTTGCCTTTGTAAGGCTTATATGCATACATATTAAAAGCAATTTGACAGTCTTTATATGCCTCACACTGATTTCGTTTTCTTTATAACGACTGTGGAAATTCCGTTCCAAAAAAATTTAGAACAACTCTGCACACAGAACGATTTATGTCAAAAACTTGTACATATTTTTTAAGAAATTAATTTGTCGTATCCTTGTTCTCAATTTCCATTTCATTATTTGTTGAATTTGTAGCAAGAATAAGAATTTAGTAAACATTACAATACGCAAATTGGAATTTTAAACGACCAGATCAGAGAAGAACATTATTAATATGATTAAATTTAGAGTTCAATATTTATATCATAGCATGACCTTCATGTATATTTTTAATCATAATATTTTTAAATACAAACACAATAAATTCAAATTGCAGTAAATGCTGCCCTGAGGTTAGGCATTCCAACGACCTGTCAAAATGCTACCAGTAGGAATTGGCAGTTTAGATATGGCAACCCTGTGTCATTGACATGGTCAATGATACATATATAGTTATATAGATTGCTCAAAGCGGGCCATTTGTAAGCAGCCATATTGCTTGGCAAGTGTTCATTAATTTGAATTGGATTAGCAGAAATGTGTTTTAAAACCAATTTTCTTGAAATACAACAATTTGTCACTATAGACACGAGAACCATTAGCTGCTTCTCGCACATGATTGGTTAGGGGGGTTATTCGTGACGTCATGGTCTTCTCTGTCGAACACCAGTTCGGCCGCATAGTAGGGATCCTCAAATTTTTTAATACATAGATGTTGAAATCAAATGATACATCGAATACAAACTATCGATATTGTAAAAAAATCGGAAAAGAAAACATCGATTTTTCTAAAAATCGATGTTCGTTTTCAAAAAAAAGTTTTCGGACCACCAATTGAAACGTAACGCTTAACAAACATCGAAAAAGAAATCACATCGATGTTAATTAAAAACATCGATGTTAACTAATAACATCGGATAAAAAACATCGATGTTAGCAACGATAATCAAAACCGAAGAATCGATGTTTTTTAATAATGCGCATCCCTACCGCATACATCAGTATCGATTCGATTGCTTTGTTGGGGAGTTTCGATTTACTAGCGTCGCTTTGCACACACGTGTTCACAAATGGATCGCAAATCAAAATTTCAATGTTATAATTTGTATTTTGCTTAAAAAGTACTTTATTTTAAAGATATTTTGTAGATGCCCCAAATAAAAACCGCAGTAAAAATTGTGTTTTAGTTTTCTTGTAATATACGTATTGACAAAAACATGTTTAATTAGTGGAAGCGACCAGTGATTCTCATATCCACAAGCCAGTTCCAGTATTTGTTTCTTCAAGCCATCTATATTAGCGCTTATGAGGTTTAAATGACAACGAGAATCAGATGACGATTCTCCCGGCGAATATGTTGTACCTATGCATAAGATTCATAGGGTGCTTCTCACTGCTATATTAGTGCATTTTCTGAGAAGCATGTTATGATGCTGATGCTGATGGCAGTTAACCTGTTAAAACAAATTTTTGCTAAACCGATTCAAATTAATGAACACTTGCTAGGCGATGTTGGCACTCGCAAACGACCCGCTTTGAGCAATCTATATAACTATATATGTATCATTGACCCTGTCAATGACAACAGGCCCACAGGTTTGCCATATCTAAACTGTCAGTTCCCACTGGCAGTATTTTGACAGGTCGTTGGAATGCCTAATTATAACCTAATATAACCTTAGAGCATGCTCTAAGAATATAACCTAATAACCCTAATTATAACCTGTCAGTGGCCTGTCATTTCAAACGGGCAGCCATTTTGTTTGGAATGCCTAATTCCTAGTGTTGCTGTCGCGCGAAGTGCGAAAGTCCCACCTAAATCCATGACTTCAAAAGATGTCGCTGTAAGATGAGTAGCTAATATTGAATAAGCTGCGGCAGAGCTGTGCCCTAAGAGATCGGCAGAATTTTTTCATTTAAGTTTCCCCTTCGTAACCTATAAATGGTTTCTCATCTTTAGTTCATAAGATATAGACATTGTAAGTTTTTAAATTGTTCCGTATGTGAAACTAAAAAAACAGACGTAAGAGGCAGGCAGTACCGCCCACTAGAGCATTGGTCCAAATGGTGAAAGATGATAATACATTGTGCCATTACACTACCTTCTTTAATATTTTTACAAATGGTCGTTAACAATTTTACACATATTTAAAAAAAAATTATCCAGTACCGCTCAGTTATGTTAAAATTTAGATATTTTTGTACATTTTATTCACGGTTAAATTAATTATTAGCTACTCGAACCAAAACTGAAAACCTTTATTTTAAAGAATAAACAGAAAATAAATGGAAAGAAACTCTGTTTTTATAAATAAAACGAAAAATAATTAGTAGAAAAGGTCAGATATACTTGTGTATGATTTAAAATAAGTATACTCTGGGTATTATTTATAGGCCCACTTTATGCACAACCCATATCTAAACCACGTTTCTGTTTTTCCAAATTCGCTGGAGATCAAATATATTTCATCGATATCTTCATATTCGGAACTTTCGTCATCTAAGTCTTCTTCGCTACTAGAAACATATTCTATCACCATTTTAGTTTTTTTTTATTTTTACTAGATTAAACCAAATTTCGTTTTACTTTCTCCTTTATAATTTTTTCCATTCAGTTTTTTTTTTCTTTAATAGTTCTTTTTCTGTAATTGTGGTAGAATCCGATTACAATAAGAAGGACGTCATAACCATTACTTCGAATTTCGAATACATATTATCTATAACTATCATTAATAAAGAATAAGTAAGTTGTTAGGTAGAAATAGTAGTTTGTACAACAAGAGTGGATATGATAGCCATATCGCACGAAGAGGAAATCATCTGAGTGCGATGTGGACAATCCACTCGAGTTGTATGGTATATTTTTTCTACTACCCACTAACGAAAATTTATAAATCAAAAAAATATTTTAGGTTATTAAGACACAATAATTAATTTTAAAATAATTTATGACTTTTAATAATTTTTGAAAAATAATAGACG